AAGCTTTCAGTCGCTGTGGTAATTATTCCTGTGTTCTCTAGCGCCAAAAATATAAAAATTTATTATTATCTTTCTAAATATTGAAGATAGGATAAAAACAAAATCAAAAATGGATTCCTGAGGTAAAATAACCCCTAGTCACTCACTACAACTACCCTCTTATCTCTACTGGTTCAGGAGTTACACTTATCTCAAGCTGTCACAGGAGCTTTTCTTTATTATTATCCTGACCACGTCTCATTTTGAATACTGGATGCATATTTCATATTGAATTCCTTTGTTTCATATTGAATTCCTTTACTGGCTTATATTTCATATTGAATTCCTTTGTAGGTGCACATGCATTCCTTTGTAGTAGGACCTTGTAGGCTAGCCAAAATCCCTCAAGGCAGTGCTCTCACCAGCCAAATTCCCTCACCTGCATGTACTAGACTAGCTTAATTACCTCATTGGATTTTCAGGCCAGCTAAATTCCCTCAGCTGCATGTACCCTGGAGCTAAAATCCCTCACTTTTGTCTATATAAGGAGGCCTCTGCCTGCCAGTTGTACCTTTCATGATCCCACCAGTGGACCAGATCATCTCAACCACCCTTACAATCACCACCCATTATATTACAAGTCACAGTTATATAACCACCCTTATTTTATCGCAATATATTCATAACACTTTCATATCATCATCATCATACCAAGTGCCCAGTCCCCTGTTCCACTAGGGGACCCGCGCGGCAGAGCCGCCGCGGGCCCCTAGGAACATGAACATGTGATAATGTGAAACATGTGATAATGTGGAAATAGTTATTAGCTGTTCTGTCAGTGAGAAAATGAAAATGAACAAAAAAAAAGAGATAAAAGTGAGCATGAAATGGAAAAAAGAAAATAGGCAACATTAGATCATGAAAATGAGTAGCAATTGAAATGGAAAATAGAAAAGAGAGAACAGATAAGGACATTTTTGATTGAGTTGATCTTGAGGAAATGCTGAGAAACACATCTTGCAAGAGATATATCTATAAAGAGCAGAGACTGTCAATATATCATTGTCCAGACAAAGTAACAATAGCCAAGTAACGTGAATTATACGCACTCATCAATTCCCTTGACACCTCCGAATGACATCCAAATTCACCACATTGGTGGTTTTCTTCTCCCCATCGCCACCCACAATCCCCAACGATAAACCACGAATGTTTGTTACCCTCGATAGCGCAACATACAATTGACCATGTCCGAATACAGGCTGAGGCAGGTACACAGATACCACATCCAGTGATTGCCCTTGAGCTTTGTTAATTGTCAGCGCAAATGCCACCGCAACTGGAAATTGATATCTGTTAAAGGAAACTCCGTAGGTCTCATCGGCTTTATGAATCAGCTTGATCTTTGGTATAAGGACAGTGTGTCCAACACGGCAACCGGTCAATATTCTGCATCTTAACACATGTGGCTTTATACCGAGAATAAGGAGTCGGTGTAAGACTCAAAAGTGGTTGTGAAACCCTTTTGCTGAATGGAGAAGGGGATGATGGAGTTGCAAGCTCTGCCCTTCTATGCTATCAGAATAACAAGACCACCAAGCTCAGCTTGGCAGTTTATATATCGTGATAGAGGATAGTTCGAGATGAAGCTGTCGAATGATACGTATAACAGTTGAAGGTGTTGATGATTGTCGTTGATGAAGTTGTTGATAGAGGTGTCGATGATAAGTGTTGAGAGTGAGGCTTGAACGTGCAACCTCGAGGTTGATGGTATATAAATTTTATGCTTTGACCAGGAATTGAACGGAGGACCAGGCACAGGTGGAGGTAAGTTGGAGTTAAGATGGAGTTGAAGTGGAGTTAAAGTGGATGTCTTGAATGGGAATTGAACGCAGGTCCTTGCGGCTGGGGTGTATAAGGGCAAAAAGCAGTGGATTTCAGGCAAAGGTGAGATAGCTTAGTGGTTATGAAAAAAAGTAATTGTTGATATTTCTACACTATAAACTGTTATAATATATAAGGGGGGTTATAATTATAAAACCTCAATATTAGGTAGCTAATAATAATGAGGAGTGACCAGTGATGTAGTGTTATGGGGGGGACTGACTACAGAGCATCTGATGAGGAGGGAATACAACTGGCAGGCAGAGGCCTCCTTATATAGACAAAAGTGAGGGAATTTAGCTCCAGGGTACATGCAGGTGAGGGAATTTAGCTGGCCTGAATATCCAATGAGGGAATTTAGCTAGTCTAGTACATGCAGGTGAGGGAATTTAGCTAGTGATAGCACAGCCTTGAGGGATTTTGGCTGGCCTACAAGGTCCTGCTACAAAGGAATGCATGTGCACCAACAAAGGAATTCAATATGTAATATGAGCTAGTAAAGGAATTCAATATGAAACAAAGGAACTCAATATCCAATATGCATCCAGTATTCAAATTGAGCTATAGTCAGAGTAAAGAATCCAAGAGATATCCTGTGATAGGTTGAAATAGGTGTAACTTCTGAACTAATAGAGATAAGGGGGTAGTTGTAGTGGGTGACTAGGGGTTCTTTTACCTCAGGAATCCATTTTTGATGTTGATTTTACCTTATATCTCATGTAGAAAAAGATGAGAATAAATTTTTATATTTTTAGCGTAGAAACACAGGAATAACTACCACATCGGGTCCCATTTGACAGACCTCTCTTCAGATTCAGATTACGAAGTAATATTACCGGAATCCCAACTTTCAATTCCAGCTTCGAAGATGGAAACCCAGGAATTGTGAATGTGTTCAAGACTTCTTCCGGAATAGCCTCATCACTATCCAACCCATCGTCTTCTTTAGCCATCTCTTCAATTGAATGAGAAACAAATATCTGACCACGAAACGTCATTGTACATGTTTCATTGATTCGGGAGACATCAGCGTTCAGAGGAGCTAGGATCAAGCGAGAGCTGAAATAGTTTGATAGTCGATCCAGATCTGCAGAATCGTATACCGAATTCATTTCTCCGTAGACCGAATTGGTGACAAAAGTTTGGACCAGAAATTCCGATTGATTTTTGAACACTCGTCCATACTTCAAGTCAATGTCAGAGGAAAAGTCGGATTGGCCCTCCCCATTTCCAATTTGCAGGAGCCAGTTATAGAAGTCCAATGCCTCGCCATCACCCGAATTTTGTAATCGCATATTCTGAGTCAGTTGGAAAATGTACACATTAGTCCAAAGCGGCGAGTTGATCATGCATTTTTCAGCTTGATCTAATATTGTTCCTCGCTTGACCACCGGTAATGTTTGCCTGAAATCCCCACCGAAAATAATAATTTTTCCTCCAAAAGGCTCGTCATTGTCCATCAGGTCTTGAAATGCATGGTCCACTGCCTCCACAGCATGTCTACTCTGCATTGAAATTTCATCCCAGATGATCACACTGGCATCTCGAAGGAGCTGAGTTGAAGCCAAGTTTGATTTCCAGACACATTGAGTAGTTGAAGAAACATCCAAGGGGATTTTGAATCGAGAGTGAGCTGTCATTCCTTGATACAGCATAAGACCGGCTACACCTGAAGACGCGACTGTTATGACCGGAATTTGATTTCCTTTGAGGTAGTGGATGATTGTATTCATGAGGAAAGTCTTCCCGCAACCGCCAGGTCCGTCAATGTACATGAGTCCGGTTTCATTTCTGTCCGTCAATTCAATCACAGCTTCCATGATCAACACCTGTCTCTCGTTGAGACGCTCAGACATTGAGAGGAATTTGGACACATGTCCCTGTACATCCAGATCTTCTTCCACAGGATCGCCTTCAAATATATTCCATAGATGCCGATTGTGTGAGTTCAGACATGCAAGGCCAACATCGGTAAAGGTCTTTCCATGCTCTGTAAGTATTTCGGCTAATAAGAAGTATGCTAATGAATTCCGATCTTCGGTCGAAGGGTTGGGGATCAGATACTCTCGTTCTAATGTCCTTATCAAGTCATCGGACAGAGGATTAATGAAAGACTCCAGAAGACCTTGTGGATCAGAAGGTGGGCTATGAATTAACAACATGCAGAAAATGAAACGGAGCTCTGAACCGGTCATCCATTCGGCTGCTTCTCGCATTGATCGATGATAGTGCTGATCGGAGACCAAGAGACCCAGGGAATAAGCGGCTTCGCGAAAAGTAGGACATATGGTACCGTTTACAGTTCTGAGATCCTCAAAGCTTGTGTTGGAATGCTTATAGGCTAGTATGCTTCTATCAAATCTGATGTTTTATATAGTCTATGCCAACCCTCATACAACACTCTCTCTTCATTGAATTCAAACCACATCTTTTGCTCTTGTTCAGTCACTGTCACAAGATCTAGCATCTGTGACTTTTAGTTCCTTCACCTGGTCCACCTCAACAGGTTATGAGACCCATTGTCGCTACAGCTCCAACTCGACTCTGGTCATCAATCACCCCGCTCGACTATACTCCGCTACTTCGTGAAAATCTGAGGATGCCAATTCGTCAAATGAACAACCCGTCGGCCTTGATCCAAACAATTCCGACCTTGGACGGCAATTCGGTTACGTTCCCGTCTTGGCGCAACCGACTTCAGAACGTTCTACAAATCCAGGGAGTTCTCGACATTGTAAACAAAACGCTGCCTCGTCCAAATAACGCCGACTCGAAGGAGGGCAAACTTGCTGTTCGATCTCCAGAACAACGAGGCTACAACCCCGAGGACTACGGCGCTGACTGGGATGCACTGTCCGATATGGCGATATCAACGATCCAACTCACGCTCTCGGTGGACCTATCAATCCGCTATGAAGGGGTCAAACCGGCTCACAAACTTTTCTCAACCATATGTGATGCATATGAGAAAAATACTCGGGCTAGGCGACTCCAACTTGAGGACGCTTTCTGGACGGCACGACAAGACCCGAGTCAACCCATCGCAAAGTGGATTGCTCGAGTCTGTATAGCGGCCTCGGACCTATCCAGTGTGAAGTTAACGCCGGCCGATCAACAGATATGTTATCGACTCCTGCGAGGCCTCGATGAGTCCTGGAAGACCATACGAGATCACCTTGTCTACTCACCAACAGAAATCTCCTTGGACGATGCGATCGGCGCCCTCGAAGCACATGAGATTTCGACTTCCACAACTCTTGACTTCTCGAACTCAGAGCAAGTCGCTGCTGCCGCCGCAAAACAAAAAGGACGGCCGCGATGCTATCGATGCGGCGAGAAAGGACACCATTCGGCTGATTGTCCTAACCAACAAAACAGGGTCAAGTTCAAAAACTCCACTAAACAACCCGAGGCGCGCGCGGGAGCAACTTTGGTGGCAACGTTGGGCAACTACACCTCAGGAGATGAAGACGACAGCTTCGACGAAGAAATCGACGTCTGGGGATGAAAAAGGGCTAATAGTCCCTGCTATCATTTTATTCGTAGTACGCACAACTCCGGTGCACGCTTATGGTTAATTTTTATTGTCTGCTTGTTTTTTGAGTACAGATTCTGTCGTGGTTTCTCCCTTCTCCCTGCATACGTAAAATCTCTGACCTGGTTAAATCTAATATTTCTGTCCCCTCAAGAGTTTTTTTTTATACTACAAGCTACACAAGTATAATTTTTTTACTCTGGTTTTCATCAACATGATTTGTTTTCAGCAAGGGGGTGTGTTGGAATGCTTATAGGCTAGTATGCTTCTATCAAATCTGATGTTGTATATAGTCTATGCCGACCCTCATACAACACTCTCTCTTCATTGAATTCAAACCACATCTTTTGCTCTTGTTCAGTCACTGTCACAAGATCTAGCATCTGTGACTTTTAGTTCCTTCACCTGGTCCACCTCAACAGCTTGTGGGACCCCTTCGATTGAGGAGTAACAGACGCAGAAAGTATCGTTCGCCCTCATTGATTGAAGCATAGTAAACTCTTCCTATCATGTCGGAGTGTTGTCGTCTTGGCTTCCAGTATTTGTCTTTTGTCCATGAGAACCATTTCGGGATTTCATGGTAAAGTAACGTCCGAGCCGACCTGCCATTGCTGACTGCATTTGACCTGTTTAGTTCAAAGAATTCTGTCAAAGTAGTGCGAGATGCTGAGCCACTCCTCATTTGCCTTCGTAATCCAAATTCGTCCCTGAAGAAAACAGTATGTCCATGTTCAAGATGGAGGGCCAGACGTTGAATGGGCGGGTATCTTTCGCTTGTTGGGAATTGCAGCAATCTGTAAACGGCTATTGCACAAAAAAGATAATGTCAGACCGATAATTGTTTGAGAGAGTACAAATCAATTTGTGTCATGCCATGAAAGTAGAAGCAAGAGAAAGAATTTTACCTTCATAAGGGCCAATGTAACGTCCATTTATGAACCGCCTTGTCTCGTCACCATCGGTCATCCTTAATGAAGATCGATCGATTCCTTTGCAGATGTACTTGAACAGGTATTTCATCGCACCGATCCCATATGGTATTTCCACATTAATGTGGCACCTGTATTTCAACGTCAAGAACTTGTTATACGGTACGACATTTCCATTGTGAAATTCGTTGTTTCCCTTGAAAAATCTTCGGCCATTGTCTCGCCTGCAGTACTTCGGGTATGCGTCTTCCACCATTGTAGTTTTGTTACAAAATTCCTTTGGGAAGTTCTTGCTGCAAGCACCATCCTTCCAACATGGACTGTTTGCATTGCAAGGTCCATGCAACATGCAGCTTGTTACGATTTGATGCAGCTCGGGTTCCTCATCTGGGTCTGGGATTTCGGCTGATACCAAGCAATCGACAGCAAATGGTGTTCTGGGAACACTGCCCGGTTCGAGTATCACCATGATGTGAGCATGAGGTAATCCACGTTTCTGAAATTCGATAGTGAAAACGTGTCCAGCTGCTTTTCCGAGTCGGTGATGTTTGACCAGGTCTTCAATCAATGATTTCTGTTTTAGTCGAAAGAGACGGGTCACCAAATCGGGTCGGTCGGCTGGGTCTAGATGTGGAAACAGCGCAGCAATTGCCTCTTCCCAGCGGGGATTTGCAGTCATTGTGATGAAAAGCGATGGTTTTCCAAGTTCTCGTACTATCGCCATTGAATCTTGATAGAGTTGCACCATATTACGCGGCGAGCCAGAAAAAGACGAAGGCAATATTACCCTCCTTCCAGCAACGTCAAGGTCATTCCTGAAAGCTTCTTGGATTCCGGAATACAGCTCAGCTTTCAATTGAGCTTGATTGAACACTACAAAGTTTATTCTAGATCGCTCGACACACAAATACAGATCGGTTACTATTTCCTGGAAGAGAGTCTTTCCATTGAGAATAGCTGAAAACTTTCGTGACCTGTCAAAGATCATGTTTGCGTACCACTCGCATTGGGAGATTGTGGCATCTTATACAATCAAGTTTTGAAAATGATCAGCTCAGGTGAAATCTGATGTAAAGAATTTTCCAATTGAGACATACCCCTGTCTGTTGAGCTAGGCCACCCATCAATCCAACCTTGATCCCCGAACGGAAAAAAAAAGTGGATAACGAATTGGAAGATAACCACTGAACTCATCCGTAACATGATAGAGACAACCTCCCGTCGTCCTGAGTATAATACTCCTCGGTAAGATTTCTTCATCATTATCATTGTCGATCACCATCCCAACCTCAAGAGTTCTTGGCTCGTTGTACACGCGTTGGTCTAGTCCAGCTCTTGCAAAATTCTGGAGAACATATGTAGAATTGTCGCTCGGAGACCTAGTTTGTCCAATCATTCGGAAGAACTGAGCATAGGTGTTGTGATTTGTGAGGAAGGATTGGATTCTCAACAGTAAAGGGACATGTAGATTAGATCTTGATTGAGCTGCTCGATGTTCTGCTTTGCTCCGATCATTTCCTCCAGTGACGTAGATTTGAGAAAATGCCGCTCTTGAATTGTTGTCTGGAAACACCGAACCGATATCGTGATAAAGTCCTCCATTAACCCGGAACGTAAAGATTCCGGCTTGGCCTTGCACAGACCTGTCCACAGTGGCACCACAGGATGCAAAAGCCAGTGAATTGTTATATCCTCTGATGTGTCGTTGGAAATTACGCGCAACTGGAAATGTTAATAAAATCCTGGTCAGATTGATTGTAGTGATGGAGGATGAAAAATCATTAGACACGCACATGCACTTTGACCCTCTAACAATGACCTTAAGAAATCTGGATATTCAATTTCATCGTACTTGACCGGCAAAACAACAGCACCTTTCTTGCAGCACGTTGAGAAGTTGGCTGACTCGCTGTTCATAAGATCCAGAGTTCGCTCCCCCTTCCAATGTAGAGCCCCGCAAGAAGTACATTCGTCATCCATTGGACCCACATTGTGTGGTATTTCCCTTCGGAATCCTCGCAAGATTTCACTCTCAGTATTCGATGTAGGGTCCGTTACTGCAGGACCGTCCGGCACAATGTTCAACGGCAATATGTGCTGCTGGCGACGCTGGCGTCTGGGTGAAGGTGCTGGGGTTCCAGTCGATTGAGTAGCAGGCGTGCTTTGCCTTGAATCTTGAGTATGACCTCTGCGACGTGCAAATGCCGAATTGATTTGTCTCCTCAATCGCACGTCGCTGGATCTTGTTGGTGGCATAGTTTATGAAGTCTTTGAACTTGACTTTGTCGATTGAGATGGGTAGGTAGCTTAAGTTGCTTGGAGAAAACCGGATCAGGTGAACTTGAATACGTTGATCGAAAATGAACAGGTTGAATACTGCAGTCTAACTGGTCGATCGAAAAAGAACACCGTAGCTAGGTCAGTTGATGAGGTTCTTGCACTTGTCGATCAAAAACGAACACGTACTTGAAAATGGCTTGAACTTGAATACTGTAGTTGCACCGGTTGATCGAAAAAGAACACGTGTCTAACTGGTTGATTGAAATGAGGCTCTTGAACTCGTCTGAACTCGTCAATCGAAAACGCACACGCTAAGTACTTGAATATGGCTGTCGGCCGCTTTGGTAGGTTTAGTGTCGGTTGCTTTTCTTTGTCGTTGTTGAATGTCGCTTGTTGAACTTGCCAAACAAAAACGAAGAGGCTGTCGGACGCTTCAGTTTGTTGTTGAATGTTCATGTTGAACTGAATTTGAAAAATAATTGAATCCATATTCTCACAATCTCGCATCTCTCACGCAACTCATAGTTGCTCCATGTATATGGACATTGAATTGAAATTCATTCAGGAAAGCGCGGTTCATTTCATGTGAAGACAGTGAGGCATAGTGATTCATATCATGAGAAAACAGACCAGCAGAGCGTTTCAGTTTTTGGAAAGACAGGCAGGCAGGGAAAGCAGGACCAAGAAAAACATATGTGAGGAGGGGACACGATTGCGAGGTCGCCAAAGCGGATCATTTTTTGGAAAGACAGGCAGGGAAAGGAGGACCAAAAAACCATGTGTGAGGAGGGGACATGATTCATGATTGCGTGTATATAAAATTGAAGAAAAAGAAAAGGGACCGAGACCGGTACGATTGTGTGTATATAAAATTGAAGAAAAAGAAAAGGGACCAAGACCGGTACGATTGCGTGTATATAAAATTGAAGAAAAAGAAAAGGGACGATGAGCGGTATCATCGAAGCTATCATCTAAGCACGGCCTTTCATTTTCTTTTGTGCATCAGAGAGAGCGCTGGCACTCCTCTTGGCACGTTGGTTTGACTCCGGTGGTTGACCAATTGAATCAATGGCAGAAGTCCTTTTGCCAGGTAATGTGACTTCTTTGTTCTCCGTGACTTCACCATCTTCCGCATGATCGGGGTGGTCTTCAGCAATCTTCTTGGAAGATGAAGGCGACGGACGGGGAAAGACATTGGATGCAGAGAAACCATGAACTTCACCATCGCCCGAGGTACTGCTACTGGCAATGCTAGCAGTCGATTTTTGGCTATTGTTATGAGTTTTAACAAAACCACCAATCCTCATCCTGTTACATACATGATTCGTCAGTGGATCAGTTATATCGGGGTGTGAATCTAGGGGAAACTTACAAATGCGGTCGACGACTATCCAAAGCCCCACTGGGGCCCAAAGTTGGTAACATTGCCGGAGTGTTGAAACGTCCTGGGGTACCGGTTAGTGATAAGAGAATGCCCTGGAACAGGAAAGAGAAATAAGTAAATATATGGCAAATTTATTATATATGAAATAGTAGAAACATGAAATATGAGGATGAATAGATACTCACATGAACCTCCCATGCCTTTGCGGTCGTGTTATACCCTCCCATATGACCGAAGATTATACATTCGCGGTGCAACTCGATTGACTTCTGGATACCGGATAACATCTTGTTCCCGGGTACGTAATAGATAGTGTTGAACTCAACCTTTCTCTTCAACTACATACATGCAATGAAGAAGAGCACCGGGGAAAACCATTAGTGACAATGAAAAAAACAAAGAACAAATAGAAAATCACTTACTGCACTGTGATAGTCAGTGTGCCTTAAGACGACACGCAGATCGGCATTAGGATTATCTCCAGGCACTGACTGCCGATCAACCACGACACCGTATCCAGTCACAGCAACCTTATCCGCTAAGAGAGACCTCTTGTTTTTGTCGATATACGCACTGCTGCTACCCATACACACGTTGTGGTAAATAATACTGTGTTACTACGCAGAAAATATAAAAATTTATTATTATCTCTTTATATATTATAGATATGGTAAAAATAACATCAGAAATGGATTTATCAGGTAAAATTAACCCTAGTCACCCACTACAACTGACCCCATATCTCTCATAGTTTAGAAGTTACACAGATTTCAACCTGTCACAGGATGTCTTTTGGATTCTTTACTCTCAGTGTGGCTTGTTTTGAAAACTGCATGCATATTGAATATTGAATTCCTTTGTGTTGTATTGAATTCCTTTATTGGCACATAGTGCATATTGAATTCCTTTGTAGGTGTACATGCATTCCTTTGTAGTAGGACCTTGTAGGCTAGCCAAATTCCCTCAAGGCAGTGCTCTCACCAGCCAAATTCCCTCACCTGCATGTACTAGACTAGCTAAAATCCCTCATTGGATCTTCAGGCCAGCTAAAATGCCTCAAAAGCCTGTACCCTGGGGCTAAAATCCCTCACATTTGTCTATATAAGGAGGCCTCTGCCTGCCAGTTGTTCCCTCCATCATCCCACCAGTGGACCAGATCATCTCAACCACCCTTATAAATAAATACATCTTATATATTATTTCATAACTACAAGTCATAGCCACATTACAATTTCAGAATTATATACATTGAAATACAGATTTAACACTTTCATCAACATCATAAACCAAAAGTGCCCTGACCCACATTCAACAACAACAACTTCATCAATATAACCAACTGTCAATAACATCTTTATACCCTCACACAAATCAATTGGCAGCTTCATCTCGAACTTATCCCTATCACTATATATAAAATTGCCAAGCTAAGCTTGGTGGTCTTGTTATTCTGATAGTATAGAAGGGCAGAGCTTGCAACTCCAACATACCCTTCTCCATTCAGCAAAAGGGTTTTCATAACCACTTTTGAGTCTTACAACGTCGAAAGCGCTTTCGAAGAACACGGCCGGCTCCCTGGCATCGTCCGCCGGTTGTTGTACGCCCCCTACAAAACGGCCTGCAAGGCAGTATACCATGTCCTTCTCGAACAGGGCAGCCCTGGAAGTATAACCGGACAGGTCGATTGCAATTGCGTGCTGTTTCCCATTCGGATGATTCCAAATCAAGGACGTGGTATAGTTAAATTGACCGTAGTTCTGACCATCTAGAATCTTGTGTTCCCCCTGCAATGGAATTTAATTTTTAATCGATAATTTAGTAGAATATCGAGCTTGCTAGTAGGATATTGAGCTTGCTTAGAAGCTTAGATTAGACTTACATATTCAATGATGTCGAATGGACCTTGAACGTACATGGGATGACTCGGTTTTTTGGAAGTCGGACCTGAGAAGGCACTCGATTTACTGGGGGAAGCCATGGGCGATGGAGATGAAGAAAGTGGCGACTGATGCTGAGGTTTGTAAAGGAAATTGAACAACACAGAGATCAAGTTGGTCGCATCGCTCCATGGGGCAGGGTCATTTGGAAGGATGAACTCAATCGGGCCGGCCAATGTCGCACGCAGAAAGAAAAGGGACTGGACCGCATCGAAAAGAACGTTATCGAATGTGTGGAAAGTACATAGAACAGGAAAAACTTACCATGAAACTGAACGGTAGAATAGGAAATAACAAATTGGAAATAGAAATACGAAATGATGTTAGTAGATTAGAAACAATTTGATATGCAAATGATGAAAGACGATGGGGAAAAAATAACTTACATGACAGTCGAAAGGAAAATGATTAATTTCAATCGAGGATAGTTCATTGTACACGGAGCACAGAGTTGCCTGAATACTGGGGGAAAGGAAAATGGGAGAGGAGTCGTCGACCGTGGATGTAGAAAGACGTGGTCACTAATTGGAAAATTGGAAAAGGTTAGTGATGACCGAAAATCGGAAAGGTCAGGTTAGTGACCAAAGGATATCATGGTCATTCACTGGTTGTTTGCACATCTACAACACAGGGAAAACGATGTTTGTAGATGTAATATTCCATGTTTGTTTGGACATCTACCAAAACATGGAAACCGTGAGGCTACATAACCAATGGAATATGTAGTAACTTCAGGGCGAGTAACTCTGATGGAACGAATGAGCGGCTCTCTCCATGACCACGAAGGTATAAATAGGGAGGATGAGACACCCTCAAAGACCTTCCACAGGGAAGCCGGTTCGGTTAGTCCCTCTTAAGAACACTGTGGTCTTGGTCTTGTGGTTTTTTGTCATGTGGTCTTTGGTCTGTGGTCATCATGTGGTCATTAAGGAAAAAAATAACTTGAAACTTGAAAAAAAATGATGATGATCCATTTGGTCTTTGGTCAGAAAGTTCGCTGTCTGTTTGGTCTTTGGTCAGAAAACTTTGAGCTTGATGATGTTTGAAAAAGCACTTAAGAATCTTGAGCAGAACTTGAAAGGCTGTGAAACATGCGGCCCGACGAAACTGTGGAAAACTGACCTTTTAAGGTTGTTAATTCCTGGTTGAAGCATAGTGCTCCCAGCGCCCAGCGCCTTGGTTCCAAATCACCTCCTTTTAACTTTATATACCCTCAACCTCAAGGACCTGCGTTCAAGCCTCAACCTCGACAACAATCATTCACACCTCTATCAACAACTTCATCAACAACAACATCATCATCAACAATCACCACCTTTAACCGTTATACGAATCTTTCGACAGCTTCATCTCGAACTATCCTCTATCACGATATATAAACTGCCAAGCTGAGCTTGGTGGTCTTGTTGTTCTGATAGCATAGAAGGGCAGAGCTTGCAACTCCATCATCCCCTTCTCCATCCAGCAAAAGGGTTTCACAACCACTTTTGAGTCTTACATCGCGAGAGAAGTGACAGGAGAGAAGTGAGGAGCAAAGTTGAGTGATAAAAAAATCAACAAAGAAAAGAAGCTTGCTGGGGACAAATGATCCTAGAGAGACAAGCTCGAAAGATAAAGAAGAAGAAAAGGGATCATGCGAGAGAGTTTGGGCGCAGTGATGTCATCACCACGCTATGAATATTTGAAGAGGGCTTGACCGAGGTGATGTCATCACAAAAGCTCGAGAGCGGGTTGATTTTGGTATTGAGAGAAAAATAAGATTAAGGGCCAGATAGGAACGATGTGGGGCTTAGACATCAACACAAACCTCCTATAAAACAATGAAATATAATGCCATGGAAATAAGATGTGGCATAACTAGATATGTGTGATACCTGATAGCTTGTTTAAAGATAATAAAAGGAACAAAGAGAAGAAGAGGAAAAAGTAGAAGAAAAGAAGAGAAGAAAAACAACTATTTGTAAGCGTGTAAGAGATGATAGATACCATTTAGAGAGAACAGATCTAACAAGAATGAAATAAAATGAGGCCATGAGAGAAGATAGGATGTTGTAGTGATGGAGTTCAGAAACCTCAGCCCTTTATCCTATCCCACCATTTGATTTTTTGATTCAAAGCGCATCGAAAGGCCCCCAAAACCTTGAGCAAGCATCTGAAAAAAAGCGGTTTACTCGGGTTATCCCCCAATAACCCAAGGCCGCCAACCCTAGTCATCAATCGGAGCTACATATGTAGCCCCGGGGGGCTAGCCCGGGCTCTATCCGGGACAGGGACTTGCTGAGATTCGTGTCTTCAACCAGTCACAACTCCACGCACTCCCATCATCAACCTACACATACACGCATCGCAGTGAGATCTCTCCACAAGTCAGAAATCAACCAGTCGAGCCTGCCAAGCATTGCTCATTGGGTGAGTCCTTTAATCCTGGCGCCCCAATTTTGACAGCCCATTGCAACGTCTAAGGCTCATTCATCAGGCATTGGATACCTTTTGATACCAGAGACCATCTTTCGATCGACACGTATCATCCGAGAATGATTTCCGATGTAACCCTTATGTCAATTTCGAATACTCTGGGTGTTCTATCGGTCTTCTTTATCATATTGTATCAGGTAAATCTCCTTAACAAGTTTCACTACGTAGCTCACCAAGTTTTGAACTAATCCGCCTGGCGGGGTCGATCTTCTTGACTGGAAACTACAGCTTTTTGAGGTGAACGCCAGAAGGACGGTCGAACTTGGGCGGGGTCGATATGCTTCTCGAACAGAGCTCGTTGGATGATTTTGAAAAGAAGTTGGATAAACCAATCAAATTACACATGTACCCGTGGTCCAGAGACCCCGTGTGATGGTGGGCATTTACGACGATGATGGAAATACCAGCCTCTATCTCTGTCTTGTTTCGATCGATACACCAGACCACTTCCGGAGTTCTTAAGCAGGATCTAATTGGTGCAGAAGACCTATCTACCTGGCTTGGTTGTGCGCGCGAGCCACATCCCATGGCTAGATTGTGTTTATTCAAGTTCTCCCAGCGATAAAAAAATATTTATTTCGTACAAGCATAAAGGTGTTCTATAGGCAACTGTGGATACATTGGTTGTGCGAGCACATGTCCTAGCGGCTGTCTATATCAAGTAGCCCGAAGCATCATGGTTCTATATTGTTCGCGGGCTACCTCGCTATATTTATCGAAAAGAGCTGGAATCGCTGTGCCATTAACTCTGATCCCAGGTGCCAAGTATATTTCGCGCCTTCATCAACTTACAATTGTCAAATCTTGAGTTAGGCGGGGCTTCACGGAGATCATCATTGCGTTTTTCATCGGTAAAGTCAAAGAAGGCTGATACTGCGGAGTGGGATAGTCTGCTTTGATACCTTCCAGTACCTCGCTTTTTGGGACATTTTCCAACCTGAAACGTAATTCGTCAATTAGTTATGGGACAATGAAAAGGTATGTAGGTTTGGCCTCGCAAGGGGTTTACTCTGCGACTTACCATCCCTCGGAAAACTCCAAATCGAAATTTTGTAGCATCTCAACAATAGTTTTGACATTGAAAAAGATAGCCATGTTCATCCCCAAACAAAGCCTGGGTCCAGCCTATTCGTCGGACGAGATTTTCACGTCAGTCCCCGACTTTTGTAATTCAGTTTGAGAAAAGTAACGAGATCTTACGTTGAAAGCGTGAAATTTGAAGTTGCCGAAGTTTTGGATCTTGCCCGCTTCATCAATCCACCGATCTGGCTTGTATTGCCCACAATCGGCTCCCCAGATTTCGGGATCACGAGCCATTTGCCAATCACTATAGCAGAAAAACATTTTCAACATACTACTCGTGATAACCAACAAGGGGGGGGGGGGGGAAGTAGAAAGTCGAATGTTGTAACTCACCTCCAAGTAACGCAGTCACCTGCCTCAACAGTCGGTCCTCCGGGAATCAGGTCATCGGCCTTTGCGAATTTCAGGTTCTGATGTGCGATGGATCGTATAATAGATAAATTTGATCATGTCAGTTTTCATGCCTCCTCCACTCCCGTAAGTTAAAGACTGAATGAGATTGTTAGTGACCTTGGGTACTGGAGGATGTAATCTGATTGTTTCAAGCACTGCGGCGTAGGTGTACGTGAACTGCTTATAGTTGTCGTGAGTCACACGACCTTGATGAGAAGGGTATGTGCCCAAGAGCTGAGCTGCTTCCTCCCGAATTTTGGAAATCACCTCTTTGTTCATCAAAAGGTGGAAGAAGCACCATGATAGCGATTGTGCCGTTGCATCACTAGTTAGGAAAGACGCCAAGAAGTCAGAGACTCTTATCATACGTTTCCCAAAGTGCCCACATATAATTACTCACCGTCCAGCAAGAAGAAAGCTCAATGCAGCATCCTTCAGTTCCTCACGGTTCAAAGTGTGTCCGCGCTGACGGTGGACAGCCATCATTAACCCCAAGAAGTCATTTTGAAACGTTTCGCCGTTGGTAAAGTCATCGTCGCTTGAGATTTTCGAGAGTCTTTCATCGATTAGCGTGTAAGCGTATTCATGAATCGTACCACAAGAGCGCTTCATCTGCTGTCCGACGCTGAGGTTGACCTTTTCGTATAATTCCCATCCAGTCATCACAGTAAATCTGAAATCCATTTGCTTTTGTGAAAATTCAAATGCCTCCGCAAAAGCTTCGGGAGAAGATAGATGTTTATAGCATGCTTCGGGTTCTGTGTCTGTTGTGGACTCCTCTCCATAGAGCCCTAAAGCCCTTCCAAAACTTTGAGATGGGACATTGAATCAGCATCCTGCTAGTCTACTGCCTTCGATTATCTGACAACTAGTTAATGCGATCTGAACTCACGTCATCTTGACGAATGAATCCAGCGTGAAGCGAGTGAAGAGATTGCAAAAGTCAAGATCTCGGCTTTCGTCGCTCGAACTTTGCAAGACTTGGAGCAGCCCATCCACACTGTGATCGGCACTGGGCTCTATCACATTCTGAAAAAGCACACCACAGAAATGTCAGTGAAGTATTCGTTGTAGCACGAGGCTGGGGAAAAACTATCTATCAGTTCTCTGACCTTGAAGGTGTTGGCGGAAAAAACTCTCGAGGTGACCGTTCGAGCTCTTTTCCACAAAGCACCATCCGTTACGAGAATACCATCCCCAAATAAATCGACCATGAGGCCTCGAAACATAGGTCCCTGTCAAGGAGTACATGTGTGAGTATAGTCAAGCCAAAGAAACCCTTGGGGGGGGGGGGTGCCTATGCTGGCCTCACCTTTTGATAGTTATCGAAGTTGGCTGAAAATATTCATTGATTATGGAAAGGAAACCAGGAAAAAATATAAATCATCCAAATTTTCCAGGATATCCTTGAAGAAATGACTGACTTTTCTGGATGTATTCAAGCCACTCCGGTTTGCTGACATCAATTATCCTAACTCCTGGGACCGTGATACTAAATCCTGGGCGAAGCTTTAGAGCCATGAGTGTCGACGCCTCTAGAGGCCGGGATAGATCTGCTAAACTTTGAGCAAGCTTGATGAAATAAACGCAACACCTGGTTGGTTAACGACTATTCAAAATACTCTTCTGCTGATAAAATAATTTCAGCATCATAAAACACGGGCCAACGCGTACCTGTCCAATTCTTTACATCAAGGGAAAAAATGCAGCAATCAATCAGTCATTATAAATTTTGAAAGTAGGTTGGGTGAACTTCAAAATTGTCAAGACTTACAATGGCCATCCAGGAACGTCTTGGAATAAGGGATCTTTTCGTTTGGTCGTGCCAATTGCTTAATAAATAAATAAAAATGAGAGCACAGTGGTTAGGATTTAGGTTTTCGGCTAGCTCTGCGGTTTATAAAACCCACCTCGGTCACGGCTGTGGGAGATTTGTTTGTTGGTTCAATAGAAGCAACATGGGATGTCAGCTAACACAGTTCTCATTATGGGTAGGAATTTCTTAGGTTTGAAACAAAAATGATCATGACTTACAATTCAAATAGAAGATAAGCCAGGTAGGCAAATCCTCCTAAAAGGAGACTTTGGAGTGTAGCACTAGTTAGCATCTTGCGCACGAATCCGCGATTTTATGGACAGATGTGAAGTTGCGTTGGTCAAGAAAAGGAAGCGCGTTGAATTGGATTAACTAAGCTTCAACAGATTACTTTTTGATATGCGAGTGTTGAGAAGGGTGCAATATATATGTAAGAAGAACGGAATAATCTATCAAAGATCGAAGTAAGCCCTGCTATACTTTTGGTGTCTTATAACTTTACTTTTGTTATACAAAGGAATAAAACTTATACTACGGGATGAACTGATACCACACAATGAATGATCCGCGGGACTTTATATTTAAGTTATATATGAAGAGTTGGGTTTCAAATGCCAGGAGATTGTGCCACGATAGTTCAATTGCGTATTTCTGGGGCAACAGTTCACTGCCTTGCTCAAATACACCAAACAGTCCGTCGTTCATGTGATGGTCGTGCTTGCTTCGCTCGTGTTATCCTTCAGCGCTCAAGAACAACGACATGCCGGCATGTTCGCCATTTCTACCTGTTTGTTCTTTTCCTTTGCTTTTCTTTCTTCAAAAAAAACATTCCAGCTGGCGAAAAGGCCCAATCATGAGTTTTATCACAGGTGTATGACGTTGAAATTTACAAAGTCTTTGAGGTCAACTACTGGAAATTTCCAGGCCTAAATCCTATGTTGGGAGATGGTTGGACCAATCGTAGGCCTACCGCTGTCGCACATACACAATATACCAAAGTTGCCCACCGTTGAGCAGACGCAAACAAAGGCAATCCACTGTCGGGTGGAGGCTTGCGGACTGGACTTATGTCCTGTCAAAGGAACATTGTTCATGAATGGCAACTTGCTGCCTCCACGATTGCATCGGGGGAAGGTTACAGCTTCAATCCTCATCGTTCTATCCTGCCTCACTGTTTTTGTTGATTGCGTGCTGGCTGCATTATACATCGTTTCAGCGTTGGATCCAGGCTGACCCAGCCAATGAATGAGTTCGAGGATTGACGGGCCACCACTGGAAGATGGTCAGTCATCCCATCGATATAATCAAGCACCTTTCGGTGGTGATCTCAAAACGATAGACCTCCGTCGGTCAGCCAGCCAAAAAGCACGGTATGATGAACGCTCCCTACTTGGTCGGACAAACGTTGGGGTGGGCCCCGGTGTACATGTATTGTCAGAGCAAGACTCAGAGTTAGTGAGCTTCTTCCGGCGATAATTGATCTGCAGGGCCGTGCTCTACTGCTGATTCGCTTCTACAGCTTCAAACGTAATGAATTAATCCTGTGTAAAATAAGTCAGATTTTTGAATTCCGCAGTATAAAATATTTATCTTACAATCCATTGACGCGATGTATACCGCATCGTTCGCGCATTAATTGTATACACGCTCAGTCAACGATAGACGGCAGACCACATCAACACATTATACTGCATCACAGATGCTATGGTTAATCTCCGAAGGCACTTAGTTCATGGTCTGTGTGTTGGCACGGTTTCCTGATCCGCTGATGAATAATGGAGGACTTCCCTGCATGAGCTTCCCCATCGTATCCAGGCAATTCTTAAGCCATCATGATGGCCGCCTAACGGAGATACTTCTCACTCAGAGCCGATTTTTATTCATCTCATCCAAAGAACAGTTACATACTAAAACAAGATGTTACTTCGACCATTATCCGCTTTGCTTTTCATTCACCTCTCCATTTTGGTAACTACTGTCTTTTCGGCCACCAACGGTGGCCAACAAACAATCTTTCAGTATCAAGGCCATCCAATCTCCCCTAACCTTTCTGTTGGAATCGCCCAAGAAGGTACTGGAGTCTTATCGAAGTGGGCTCGGGAATCAAGAAGTCAATTTTTTTCTGACATTACCCAAAACAGAGCAAGTGAATGGGTAATTGTTATGGGCAATGAAGCCGGTGGTCAGTGACCTTTCTTTTTTTTTGAAGTTCCAAAGCTAAGCATGTTTTTATAAATACGTATAGACACCGATTCTATGGCTGCAGCTATCGGTTGGGCCTATCATCTATCTCACGTCACCCACAATCCTCAAAAAGCGATTGCTTTGTTGCAAACTGTTGAAGATGCTCTCGATCTGCGACCAGAGAATCAGTTGGCTCTAGAGAGGTCCCAAATGTCCTCTAGACATAGAGATTTACTGAGTTGAGTATAGGTTGGAGTTGAATTGACTTGCTGCCCAGGCCTAGCTGATTCAATTGTTTTCAAAACAGCGATCGATGAGTTACCCATCAAACCATTTGAACTCTCACATCGTCTTGCGGGCATCGTCTTGGTGGACCACAACGTCCCCGCCCCTGGATGGCGTCAGGCTTCACTCCTCTCAATCATCGATCATCACGTGGATCAGAAACTGAATCTGTCTGCAGACCCTCGGGTGTTGGAGGAAGCTGCCTCATGTTCCTCACTTGTCGCAGACCTAATGCTCGAATCAGAAGCTCGCGGTGAACATCGGGTGGTATCGGGAGAAAAATACGGTATACCTACAGATCTCGTTGACTTGATGTTGAGGGCGATTTTTCTTGACAGCGATGCGCTGAGCTCTAAAAAACATTATGACGTCGACAAACGGGCTTCCTATGGACTTTTCAGGTTGCGTAAATCGTATGCACCACCAGACGAATATTATGGGAAGCAATCAAATGTTCGGGGCGAACTGAGTCAAGCTTCAAGACGATACCTCTTAGACGATAATCAGCGGCATAAATGGGAGAAGCGTGAACTGAGGAAGCTAGCCACAAATTTCTGGGCGGAGATGAGTGAGGCTCGAGGCCAATTACAACAGCTAGATGTGCGTGATTTGTTAAGGCGAGATTGGAAAGTGAACGCGTGAGAAAAAATTTGTTTGGTTTGGCTTGATGGTCCCAAAACGCTTTCCCCAGCTGACTTATTTATGAACTCGGATCTAAATAGTGTGAAGACCGCAACTATCAAATATCCATATTTGACCTTAGGTTTTGCTTCGATCCCCTGCTCCATCCAAAAGCAGGTTGAGAGAACACCCGAACAAACCGTTCCCGAGTGGTTTGCGATCGAACGGGCTTTCACTTCGGAAATAGGCGCCGACGTCTCTGTGGTTCTGACTAAGTTCAAATCGGAAATTACCGGAAAAGCAGAAAGAGAAATCATGTTGGTTGTCGCACATGGCTGGGGGAAAAGACTCACTACCCTGGCGGCGACGGATCTTTTCTTGACTCTTTGCAAGAATATCGAAGATCATTTTGAAGGCTTGCAAGAATGGGCACGGTCTGACAATAAACCACTTTTACCTCGACGAAAAGGATGGATAATGACTGCGAAGGGGCGTCCTATGGGGCGCAAGGTGTTAATGCCACTAGTACTCAAAGCGGCATCTGAATGGAATTGGAATACAACTGAGGGAGTGGTTGGTGACGACTAGGCTAAGAAAAATCGATCTCTTTTCTGATTTTTTCGAGATGTTTTTGTATTCATAGACTCTGAAGAAAGTTGACCTTTCTCAACGCATCTAACTAGATATAGCATGCCTGAATTTTCCATGGCCCTAACTTGTCGGCCAAGCCCTCTCATGAGCCACGCATTATTCATTCATATAAAATCTTTCAACTCTAATTAGTTGCAAAGAGCACGCGTGAGTTTTCCACAATGCCCTTCTAGTTTGATAAGATAAACATGATTGTTGGTATGATTTCCAGCCCGAGTCTTTCGGAGAGGGGTATGTAAACGACTCCTGAAGTTTCGCATTGCCGAGGGATGACATGTTTAGCTATGTAAGAATCCTATGCAGTCAACTCTGATTCATTAATAAATAACTAGTTGTCATGTATTGAGCTCTCTCCGAATGAGGGAGGGCCTCTGCGAGACAGCGACCTCCCCCCCCCCTCCGAATACAGAAGGGCTTCATTAAGTTAGACCAATGTTATGTTAATCTTAATTCAGCGTTGATACGTACTATATGTAGCATATTTAATTAGCTGTGTTACGCTACATTACCGCTTGCCAGCGGTTTTTGGCCGATCAGAAAACCCGGTAGTGTTGGGGATACGGTGCTGCACTAGGGTACACTATTGTCTGGTAGTACATAAATGTCAGCCTGCAGTGTGTATTTACAATTATTTCTCTTTTCTTTTGATTTTTTACCTTTCCTAAAAATGGACTGGTGGTTTGGTGCAAGTACATCACTAATTTCTGCCCGCGCTTGAATTTTGAGGTGATTTTTGTCAAGCCTCTCCTACGCAGAACGTATCACGACACGCGGGTGGCCCATGAGAGGCTTTGTAAACTAGCCAAGTTGACCAAAAGTTGATTCAATTCTTATTTAGGATTCTGGTCGATGCAGCTGGCGTGGCTTCAGCATTTCGGAAGGACAAATAATGAATTTATCACATTCGAGTTACTCTTCGTCCCTACGTGGAAGGAAACAGCTGATTCTCAGCTATCTCAACCTGTCCAGTCGGCTTGAGATCGAAAGACGCGATAACAAATGCCTTTTTTTCTTGAGTGAATCTTCCGCCAACCAGGAGTGAAGGTGCCCTGCCCCATGATCTCACGCGTGTTCTCCTCCCCAGTGCAGGAGACCCTTGCAAATGAATGATCTACAGAATAGTCTCCTTTGACCCATCCAATTCCAGGCTCTAAAAGAAGGTTTGGATTGGCAACGGAAGAGATTTCAGAATACTTGCTCGCATGTTGCAGATTGCCATCGATTGATATTTACAATCCTATTCTTCATCTCTAGACAAATGATATCTGAAAGTCTCAAGTTCAGACCTCAGATGTTCCTGAATCATGATTTCCTGGGAGATTCTATTCCCCGTTTTACGTCTATAACCGTCTGCTAGGCGCACTGGGAAAAGTGTGAACTTGATGTCATCTTGAACACGGATGAGAACCATGATCTAGAACATACATAGGTGCACTAATGACAATCACATCATTTTCAATGCGATGTGGTGCAGGGCTTCATTCATGGCAGTGGCATCTGAGGGCTTCGATTCGACTTGATCCGTTACTCGCAGCCCAAGTATTCCGAGATGTGACAGAGCATATAACGATTTTCCTCGGGAACTGTCTGTAGCTCACGTCAAGTGGAACAGAGGATCTCCGTTGCGCTATTTCTTTAGACTTCAACCGATTATCATGGTTGGGCAACCCTGCTTCAGACAAGAGTGTATGCCCTAGTGGACAAACTTTTCCGCTTGACAACATGCTCACACTGGCGAGATTTCGGTATGTATGGCATAATTGTGATCCGTACAAAAAAGGAAGCGCTGTCTTTACAACCTTCGCAGAATCTCTTGATTGATTTTCAAAAAAAAAAAACCCAATCTGGGTCGATAAAAACACGAGTGAAATTTCTTTTGTCCCCGACCTGAGAGGTACCAACCCATTCTCGGTTGATATCTAATTTCAAAGCACCGAAATCATTAGGATGTGTTGAGTTCATCACTTGAGCGATGCAATATCTGTCACATACTGAGCCGTGAGGATATATTGACGTACTTACCTGCCTCCAGCCGAGTGATAAAATCACAGCTTGTTTCTGCGTTGTTTTTTAATGGATCCCTTGAATGTCCATGAGCGAATATACCTTTGAACTGATAAGAAATTATGATTTTCCCCTTCAGACAGCGATTGGCTAGGAGAAATTAAGTTTCCTGATTCGATTGCTGAAACCTAATGTGTTCGATTTACGATTGCTCGAAAGATAAGTTACCTCTGGCCCATGTCGGACGTCCTGGGCATCCTCGGGTACCGCCTGAATAGATCTCCAGTAGCTGGCTCATTGCCGCCTTACCGACATCATGAATCGCAATTGTAAGGCACTCTAGTACAAGTCATGCTCAGACCGTTTTCCAATCAAGCTTCCTACCCTCATTGCCCTATAAGTTTGTATCTGTGTGGTAGCGGCCGAGAGCGTTAACTTACAATCTTTTATTTACATTCTTGCATGTTGGTAATATATCATTGGAACGCAATCTTTCGCCGAACTCCTCCCACCGGACACAATCTCGCCAGCGAAGCGCTCGTTTCCCGGATCCTACTACTGTTTAGGGATCTTACAGCTCCGTCTTTTAATCGTATTGGTTTTCTGGCTCGCTGCTCGGATTCTCCAGTTGTTCTGGAATAGCCTCGACAGCTTGTATGAACTCAAAAATCACCAGTGAGTCCTCATTAGCTTCTTGGAAATGCTTTAACAGCCCGTTTGATTTCGAATTTTCCCTGCAGTTTTGTTGCTTCATTAGCTGACAGTAGACTTGCTCATAATAAATTAAATAAATAGAATAACATTCGTACAACCACTCTCACTTGAAAGTATATCAGTTGAATCACTTCAACTTTTCCTGATCCTGACTATAGATAGACAAGAGAAGATAGTATATAACTACATTAGAGATATAAATCCGCACTCAGCTTTTCCCATCTTTCACTACTCGCACTTTCTTGATTTTCGAATTTAGTTCACCCCGGTGTCAATTTCTTTCCTGTTTAGGGAATAAAGCATTTGGGAGGGAAGTATGACTGGTATTTTGAACACATTATGTACGGTTTTGGCCTGCTTGAGTGTGGGAATCGTCGGGAGTTATGTGGCGCATCCGAATCGTGATCCGCAGGTCGTTAAACTTTTCACTCGCCAAGGTGTAGCAAACCAATATCCACCTCCAGACATTCCTGGGCCTAGACCTAGAGCCGAGTGGATAGATGCACTAAATAGGGAAAAGCAAGCAGGCCGCATACCCCACTTGAAGCCTTCCATCAAGACAGCCGACCAAAGTGTAAAGTACGACCCAGGAGTTAATGGTTCTGATCCAAAGATTTGCAGTTGGACAATTGGGTGTCGGTCACCTACAGAGTAGGCATTTTGTACAACTACTGTTCCTGATTTCTTAAGAAGGTGTATGCTGATATCTGTTTTTTTTTTTACCTCTGCGCCCCCCCCCCGCCGATGTTTTTCTGTTCGCAGCATTACTGATGCCCCTGCAGGAATGATGGGAATAAGCTTGTAAGGCTACTTTCTACTTGTCATTTTCCTTTCATAGCTGGCTTACTATACATTCAACTTCTTGATGACTTGAACACGTTCTATACGCTGCAATCTTGTGGGATGTGAAGTGACGACGGGCCAGAGCCAGCTTCATCACAGTTGATGGAATTCTTGAAATCAGTTAATCAAACAGCTACTCATTTCATGATTGGTAATCTTGAGTCACCTTGATCATTTGTTCCGATGTTATGACATGAGCTGAAGATTTTCTGTCACCCGTTGCAGGAAGTCGAATTCAGCAATCGCCGGACGCTTTTGCCGTTGCACTGAAACAAGGAGGGCACATCGCCGTCCATACCTGGAGTCGTAAGTTTTCCAAATTGACATGACCTTGTCGGAACGAGCCTTTCTAATTGCCAAACCAAACCAATCAAAACAAAAAATAAGATCCGCTGATGACGACATTGAGCGACACCGCTGTTTTGGGTGAGTCATCAATAAACGGCCCCCACCCTTCAAAATGATGACTACTAAATTCTACATAATCATTGTCCCGTTTCTGGTTATAAAGGAGAGCTCGGCTGGACTCTTCAAATCATATTCGTGAGTATTTATTCAACATGATCAGTGATCAATCAAAACATGCAAATGACATTCATGGACATTTGTGTGCTTCAAAGGATTTGAGTGGTGGAAGGTTACCCGCTTTTTGGAGACCCCCATGTTGGTATCCCTAAATGAATTCTTTTCGCAGATTCATCTCATATTCATTGATATATCCTTTTTCTTTTCTTGCCCACTGGCGCAAAAATTATTCACTATCACGATTTCTATCCCCAAGTCGGTGAGCGACATCCTCTAACACAACATGAGCAGATAGAATAATTCTAAACATTATAATTTCCGTTCTTTCACAAGGCGACGTTGATAACCGAGTTCGAGCTATTGCAAAAGTGAGTCAAAGGTCACAAGTTTCCTGACCAAAGAAGACATTGAAATAACATTGACCGCGCTTGCGCTCCATCACGGCAGAACGTCTTTGGCTTGCAGACAGTAATCTGGAACCAAGACACAAATGACTGGTGTTTGACTCCTCACAACACCAACACGTGTGGAGCCGAAGGGCCTTCAAATGAAGCAGCTCTTGACCTTGAGATGACCCGTTTCGTCAACATGCCAAAGAATCCTGGATTGATCATATTAGAGCATGAGTTGACTATTCATTCAGTGCGCGGGTTTACACATGCGTGGCCCGCGATTCAAAAAGCCGGATGGGACACGGTAAGCAGACAAGACGTTCTTTGAAAGTAATCGATGCTATGAAAATGGTAAAGCTCAAGGATGTACCAGATTTCTCTGACCAACTGTTGCTCTTATTCGAGGATTTATTTCCCACAGCGGCCTATTCCATCCCTTTTCAACGCACCCTGGTATCAAGTGGGCTATTTGAATTTTTAATTTATGTATACAATAATTACACTTGCTGAATTGCATCCATGTAACACGTCTGGATTTCGAAGAACGCGAAAGGTGCTTACGATGAGGCCATCCACCTCACCAGTTTATTAAACGCGTCTGAAGTTGTGGCGTCAGCTCGAGCGCGTTTGGCGGACACTTCTAACAGCACATCTGCAAACTCACCGCTCAACTCCACAGTACCTGTGCCCCCTGCCATAACATCTCCACAAGTTCGAGGAAGCATATCCGGCACATCGCACAAGAGATCAGCCTTCCAAATTTTACATTTGATTTTTGTCCAAGGCCTCATCCTGACTGTGATGTAACTCACTGTCAACTCAGAAATCAGCCAACCCTTCTCATTTTCGTCTGAGCTTGAAGAGAAACTACACATACAGACAAAATGATGTTTCTTCCATTTACGCACTACTTATGTTTCGCACATGTTCAATCCTATAAATAGACAGACGTAAACCTAATCGACTGACTTATCGCCACGATACCTTCTAGATTGTTTCTTTAATCCATCCTTTTGGTTTCATGCATTTTTATGGCAGCTCTCATTTCTGCCTCGTGACGGCATTCATATCACCCTAAACTCCTCTTGAGATATTTGACAATTCAATTCTACCATTTTCTACCATCCGCGCTGTGTCTCAACTCGTCATTGCCCATCACTCCTTCAATGGCTTCACAGTCAAGATGTTTGCTGTAACCGACATGCTGGTTTTGACCAATGCAAATTTCGAGAATTTTCAAAAAAAAAACTTTGTGTTTTCTCCAGTGCAAATATTTGCTTTTGAGGTTTACACCTTCAAATTTATCTGCGAACTACTGGATATTGACATTGGGTTGCTAGGAAAGAATAAAAATTAATTTACAAATAATAAACTTAGTAAAAGCAAAAGATGATGTTGCAGGAACCATTCCTTTATACTAAAAAACTAAAAACACATAAACAGTCTTCCTACTAAATGATCTAGATTGGCTGGGTAATCTAGGTTTTATCATGCCGTACATAGCTGATCATAGGAATCAAAAAAGCACATTTGTTGATGGTTTCCAATGTATCAGGGTCCAATGAATGAAGAAGCTTGTGAGACAGCAGCTACTTCCTCTTCAGCCATAATGCACGTCCACCGTTAATGCTCCTTTTTGGTACTTTTCTTAAAGTTTCCGAGGTGTGGCAGAAATCATCATTGGGTTCTTCATGGGCAAGGTTAAGGAGGGTTGATACTGTGGAGTCGGGTAAAGGGTTTTGACGCCCGGTATCTCCTCACTCATCGGGACGTTCTCCAACCTGATGATGTAAGAATAAATGGTTCAGTTACTACGTCTCTGTTTGGCGAGTAAGTTGAGTGATTATCTTTATCCTCTCTCGAGTGGGCTTACCATCCTTGGGAAAATTCCAGATCAAATTTTTGTAAAGTCTCGACGATTGTTTTGACTTCTATGTAAATCGCCATGTTCATTCCTACGCATAGTCGAGGCCCACCCTGTTTTGATTGCTCTCCATTAATAAATGTTTTATGTTCCGCCCATCTTCTTACGGCTTGTGGTTTTGGGTAAGTTTAAGAAACTCACGTTGAAAGAATGAAATTTGAAGTTTCCGAAGTGTGTTATGTTTCCCGTTTCGTCGATCCAGCGATCAGGTATGAATTGCCCACAATCAGGCCCCCATACCTCAGGATCGCGGGCCAACTGCCAATCGCTATGAAGGATTCATCAGCGAGAGTCAGTCTATTTGTTGAAAAAGTTAATGAAGCATATGTTCAATCACCTCCATGTTAGACAGTCGCCTGCTTCAATCATTGGTCCCTCCGGAATCTTGTCATTAGCCTTGGCAAACTTCACATTCTGATGGAATAGAATTTTAGTAATGCAACAAGAATGTCAGTATTTCCCTTCAAGCAAGTCATAGATGATTCCAAAGAGTGGTTCCGAAACTTACTTTAGGAACAGCGGGATGTAGTCTAAATGCTTCAAGTAGGGATGCATACGCGCAGGTGAATAGCCGGTAGTTATCGGGAGTTACACGTCCTACGTTTTCTGAATCCTCCCCCAATATTTCAGCCGCCTCTTCTCGAATTCTGGTGATTATATCTTTATTCATCAATAAATGGAAAAAGCACCACGACAAGGATTGTGCGGTTGCATCGCTGAATGGTTCATCACTTTTTCAGCATGTTGTTCAGCTGTCATGGAGCTCAATGGCGAACTCGACTTACCGGCCAGCAAAAAGTAAGCTCAACAAATCGTCCCTGAGCTCATCACGAGTCAAAGTGTGTCCTTTCTGAAGATGAGACAACATTATCAGTCCCAAGAAGTCCTTCTGCAAGGTGTCGTCGGCTGTGAGGTCCCCAGTTGACAATTTGGACATCTTTTCGTCGATTGCAGTGTAAGCATGGTCGTGAATTGTGTGGCATGAGGATTCCATCTTCTTTGTCGCGCGAAAGTTCATTTTCTGAATCCATTGCCATACGACAGCTACATCAAATCTAGAATCCATGTGCTTTTGTGAAAAGTTGAACGCATCACAAAAGGCCTCAGGGTACGAGTAGCCTTCTCCACCTTCATCCTTCACTGCTGAGTTTCCTTCAAGAAGGCCCAATTTCGTTCCAAAGCTAAATGTTGTATCAAATCAGGATCTGATTCTTGCCCGTTATTTGTGAGAAACGCAAATTTGCGTATTACTTGATTAGAAACCTGCACTCACGTCATCTCGGCAAACAAATCCAACGTAAAGCGATTGAACAAGTTGCAAAAGTCGATGTCACGACCTTCATCGCCAGCAACTTGAAGGACCTCTAGGACCTCGTGCATGCTTTGGTCAACAACAGGCTCCACGACGATCTGTCGATGTTAGGTGGGCCCATTAGTTAGTTGATTAATTAAGGAACCGTCGGATTTTGAAACTTCATGTATGGATGCCTGACCTTGAAAGTGTTGATGTGAAAAATTCTTGAAGTCACAAGTCGGCTCCTCTTCCAGGCCGCACCATCTGTTACCAGGATACTTTTTCCGAACAAATCTGCCATCAAAGACTGAAACATGTCACCCTACAAAAAAGGAAAATTAACATAAGAAAAAAAAGCACAAACTGATATCTCAACACGAGCATTAAGAACCGTACCTTGACGTAGTTCTCGAAGTTTGCTAAAAAGGTTGTTTTCAGTATTGGAAATAGAGCAGGATCAGTGATTTCCTCATACAAATGCAGATGTGTTTAACTGACTTTTCTGTACGTATTCAATCCATTCTGGCTTGCTAATTTCAATCACTCTAGCGCCAGGCAGTGTGATGCTAAATCCTGGCCGAAGCTTCAAAGTCATTATCGTACCTGCCTCCCAAGGTCGAGCAATTTCCAAAATACTTCCAGGGAGCTAAGGAGGTGAGTGATATATAACGTTTGTTAAATCGTTCCAGTTTGAGTCATGGGGATTGCAGCATTATTGAAATTGAGCTGGACAAACCTGTCCAAGTCTATAACGATATGAATCACGAGAAAGTTAGTCAAGTGTCTAAAGGCGGGCGCGGTTAGAATCAAAACACGCGAGACTTACAGGGGCCATCCTGCAACTTCTTTAAATAATGGATCCTTTCTTTTTGTTGTACCAAACGCTGTGGCGGTACATGATCGTTGGATTTGATCATAAATGAGCAAAGAGTAGAATTGTCAGTTATCGTCCTCTCTGTATTTCTTTTCGCTCATTGAAATCAAAGCCCATCTGAACTGACCTCGATCGCGGCTGCAATTTAAAGGAAGGGATCACGGGTTGAATTTGTTGTTGTATCGGGAATAATGATGCAGCGCATCGGTCAGCAAGATCGAAGGGTCTGAAGCCACAGTCACCAAAATTTGGAATTAAAAATGAAAGGGACTGACAATTCAAAAATAAGATATGTCAGATAGGCAAAACCACTGATGATAAGACTGTGAAGCACCGGGCTAGTCAACATCTTGCACAAGACACTCAGGGGGAGGATGTGATAGGTGGTGTAATGAACAAAGAAGGAGTTGAGATTCTTTGGATTTTGGAATTCTCTAGGATATCAGGAAATGTAATAACAAGAAATTAACCAAACCAAAAGGTGTGTGAATTGGTCACTAGAATACAAGGGTAAGGGTGGTTTAAAAGTAGCTTGTGTCAACTTTCGGACATTACCCGCACATCTCTTTGAGGGGTCTTCCACCTCATGAAGTTCGAGGTCATCAACTTGCGTCAACTTGACAACGGACTGGCCTGGCGAAATGCTTGCGACCGCATGCACTGCAAACATTAACCCCGCCAGGATGGCCAAGCCGTCGGTCTCTTCAACGCACCATAAGCTCGCCAAGCTGAACGGGTTTCGAGGCGCGCGAGCTGAAACGATTGATACAAAGGGCCTATTTTTCAAAACCTGCTTACTTGCAGTTCCCTTCTCAAAGTCTGAAGGAGTCCCCAACTGCAGCATTCGACTCCCGCGTAAGCACCACATACACCCAAGACTTTTGAGTGCATCGCTGTTTTGTTTGGGTCTGCTATTGTTTTCTGATGTGAAACAAGGCACAGGAGGGAAAAGGCCGGCTGGGTGATGATACACTACTTGCCTGGAAGAGATGTAGGAGAGTCTATCACAGTAAGACTGTAAGATGGATTTAGTTCCACCAGAGTGATTCAATGGCAGAATAGCAAACTGTGCGAGGAACAAAACCCTGACAGAACACGGTGATTTTGTGGAGAGAAACACCACATGAAAGATCGACGTCCCACTCAAAGGGGAGTGTTTTATTGCCGGTCCACTGTACATACCTTCGGTATAACCCCGAGCTCTGTGATCAGACAATAGTCAAAACCTGGAGAGACTTGCTCCAATGCTTACTTGCGGGGTATGTTCTGGAGGATCATGGTTTCATTTGTCTCCCAGGCAAACCTTGATTCACCAGTGCAATATAGTCACACTTTGAACCCAGCCAACACCTGGCGGAAGCATCAGGGCCAGGTTTGTTTCTTCAAACTCATCCACTCAACAGTCAAGTGCTAGCAAATGATAATGGGCGGATGTATTGACATACCACAAAGTTGAACCAGAAGGATATCATGCAATTGAGCAGACATACTACGACATCAAAGACCGCTTGAGTGGGCCTCTGCGCAAGATTCGTAAGTGATGGCCGGGTTGGGCCTAGGGGCGAGATGTAGGTGGGTACTGCCCGAGGAAGCCCAGGGCAGGGCAGGAGATGGCGAAAGTGCTTAGTGATAAATGTTTGCGAGAGTGGTGACGAAGCATGAGTGAAGGTAGCAAAAATGATGTCATAGTTTCAACTGCTCTGCAAGCGGCCTGGTCAGGGCAACATGAAGGACGTGTGGTTCTACTACAAATCAGGACTAAGGATAGATCTACACCAAAGCGACACTTCAATAATATCGTCGGATTTTCATACTTGAAAGCAGCATTCGGTTGGAGGACGTTAGTCTTGACAGGGCAATTATTCCTCGTCCTCCTCACCGGCCTCGTCACCAGCATCAGCTTTCTTTGCCCGTTTTCGTTTGACACGCCCAGCACGAGAACCACCGTAAGGACTGGTGAGGGCGAAGTCGATATGTTTTTGGCTATCGAGACGGACGACGAAGGAGGGAACATTGACGATCTGCTTGCCGACACGAATGTGTCGTTGTCGGATTAACACACGGGCATGGTGAATGGATTTGGCGAGACCCGACTTGAAAACCTGAGTCTGTAGTCGGCGCTCCATGAAGTCTTCGATCTACATGGAATAATTAGCTCTAACAAGATTAGCATTGGTCACGCTCTTCCTTAAGGAGCAATAGGAAACGAAATGGGGCATGACTCACCTTGAGCGCAAGCACATAATCGAGCCTCATTCTTGATTCGTCGAGCACACCAATCCGGACCAATCGACGAATGAGAGCGTTTCCCTCGAAAAGACGCTTGGGGTCCTTGTCATCCAATTTGAGGAGCTCACGAGCAGCTCGTCGAATCTTAGAGAGAGTCAAAGCAATCCGCCAGATCTCTCGCTTGTTTCGTAAGCCGAATTCACCTGACAGCATGAATCATGAAAATAGGCCAATGTTAGCTTGCGCGAGAAGATGAAGGGGGAGTTGCTGCTGAAACCAAGGTGAAGATAGCAAGAGGCTAACCGGCCAACTTTAATTCGGCATCGAGACGGGGGGCTTCAAAGGGTCGACGTGGAACCTTGTAAGTCTTCTTGTGGTTGCGAGGAGCCTGTAGTATCAATCAAGGCAGATAGGTGATAAGACATCAAGACATGAAAATAACAAAACATGTGACAGGACATAGTTGTTTTGGATCAGAGGAAAGACGCGAGGACTCAGACTGAGGGAAACAGAATAGCTTACGAGAGGCATCTTGATGTGGTGAGCAGGGAGTTGAGATTGCCGGTCCTATAGCGTCCTCTTGATGGGAGTCCCTGCACTCGGTTCGCTGTCTTCTTGCTGTTGTGTTGAGCTCGGCCGAAGGGGATCAGGGGGGGGAGCGGTGGGGGCCGGTCAACCGGGATGAGTTAGTTAGGGCTCAGCGCAGCAATACGACTGCGCAGTTAGGGCTCGCCCCGGTTGGTGCTCTCACTCCACACTCGGCGGACAGGCCAGTCAGAGGGTGGCCGACGCTTGGCAGTCAACCTCAAGGAAACTCTCGCCCACCGCCGAGTCGATCAGGAAGTTATCACCAGTATGTCCAAATCTCCTCCACCTCCGTCTCGCCACACATCGCCCCCGGCAGGCCGCCCGATCGATTGACCATGTATATCGCCCAAGTTGATCAAAGTGACGTCTTGCTGTTTTTCTTCATCCCTGTAGATAAGCATCGCCCATCATGCCTCACTCATTCGGTTACCGCGGTCGCACTCGCGACATGTTCAAGCGAGGTTTCAAGGAGGCTGGACAAATCAAACTTTCTACGTTCTTGAAGGTCTACCGGGTCGGGGACATTGTCGACATCAAAGCCAACGGTGCCCAGCAGAAGGGTATGCCCCACAAGTACTACCATGGGTCGGTCTTCTCATATTACATTCCGCATTGAAATCTCCATGCATCCCCGTCGTTAATGCTCTCGCTATCATTTAGCCGTACCGGTATCGTATACAATGTTGCCCCTCGAGCCGTTGGAGTGATCGTCTACAAAGTCGTCGGCAATCGTTATCTTGAAAAGCGAGTCAACCTGCGGATCGAACACGTCAAACACTCGAAATGCCGAGATGATTTTCTGCGACGAGTAAAAGAAAATGCCCGACTGAAAAAGGAAGCTAAGGAGAAGGGAGGTCAGTACGACTGTCCTTGATATCCCAAGCTGTATTGACACTAATGTGGCCTTTACTCAACGTGATGATTCTTCTGATAGAGAAAGTCCAACTCAAGCGATTGCCTGCCGGACCTCGAGAGGCCCGCACCATCTCTACCCAGTCAAACGCCCCTGTCACTTTGGCTCCTCTTCCTTATGACACCACCATCTAAAACTCCAATTTTATTCATCAATTGTACTTTGCTTGCACAGGTACATTCAATGAAATTCCATTATGCCCCGAACTTCTAAGCCGTATCATACTTCTTAGCCGTATCATACATCCAAGCTATGCCAACGCAACAGCCCAGTACTCTTCTGTGCCTTTCACTGTAACGCGAGGAACTTAGACATGATTGATTTCTTCCGAACCCACGCGATGCCTGTTCCTTGTCAAAAGAAGTTCGCATGCTCATTAATTGCCATATCTCCTAAAATGTACTTCGCCTCCTTTCTCAATCTTCAATCAGGGGGTTGAATTGCTGCTGCCACAAATGAGTACCTGTTGGCCATATCTCCGGTCAAGTCAGGTAGGCCACCCCAAGCCTCCTAGTTTGATTGACAAAGACAAAGTTTCTTAGACATTGTAATTTGTTCCCATGTATGCAGAAGGTCTTCGCTTGCACTTGACAGTCTGTCCCCCAGAGTGCATTTTGACTACAGCTAACTTTGTGACATGAATTGTGAGATTTTTGTTGCTCCAGGACTCATATTCTTAGAACCTTTGTCACGAAAGCAAAAAGTTATCCTGGCAACTGCTGGAAGTGGTTTTCCAAATATCACTTTTTAAGCTATTTTTGACAGCAGGCAATTGAGTCATGAGAACCAACTTTGACTAGTTTGAAAAATGTTAGAATTTTGCAATCAAAACTGTTCCCAAACCCAAAAATGTTTTTGAAACCACTCCAAAAACCTTGAGGGCACCCCTGGTGTAGATGAGAAATTGGGCTTGGGAAGGGTTTAGGAAACATTTTACAAACCCTTTTTGTCGTCAAGAGAGGTTTTGAGAGACCTTTTGAGATTTTTTTGGGTTCCAGTAAACATGCTGAAAACTACTTAAAGTGGGTCCAAAAGTATTTTTCAATTAGTTGGAATTGGTTTTGGTGATTCAATTGCCTTACCATCCAGACTAGTTCCAAGAAATATGTTTGGATCACCAATTGAAATATTTCCCCAAGCGTTTTGTGTCTCCATATGGTGTAGAATAGCTGTAAAAAACTTCAGCAAACATCTTGCCAATGACCCTCCTGGCTGCCTTGCTTCTGGGGCATGCAGTGTTCTTTGGTTGATCATTTTCTTCAGTTGGGAACTTGCACTACTTGAATGTGCTCAAGTCACCCTTTAATACTTGCCCATTCTGAGTGAGTTCTGCTGAGATTATTGTACAAATTTTATAGACAAAATGTGAATCATTTTTATTGAAAAAGCAGGCCAAGCAAGCCATGAGAAAGTGTCAAATAACAAAATTGGTGGATGGCCTTTTCAGAATCTATGCTCAGAGTGGTTGAGCTTTATTCACAAGCCCACCCTTCAAAGTTTTACCTCATACCAGGCCTAATTCCTACCCTTGAAGATAGTGGGCATGTTAAGTTTGGGGGTCACATGCCATAGGTAACAAGGTGAAGATTGGTGCATGGATTTGAAGTTTAATCATACAGAAATAAAAATGTACTCAACTCAATTTTGATTCACATCCAAACCATATTCCACCCTCCCAAACTGGAGGACTTCCAGTCGCCATTTAGAGTGCTTTTTAAGCCCTCCCCAGTCTTAAATTAGCACCCCAATCATAATTCCAACCAACTCACATGCGAGCTATCCTCACCAGGCTTGCAAAAAAACAATTTCTTATACCAAAAATTAAGATCTAGGGGGTGTAAATTCAATTCTGGGAGTGTTGTAAACCGCGACGGGAAGACATCCACTATCCATCTTAATATCTAAAGCATTATCTCATTCTGACTAGAAATATTTGGTGGGCCAGCTACTCTAACCCTAGTGTAGCCAAAAAATACTAAATGTTAGTGTAACTTTAGCACCATTCCACATTTCTGCGCAAACACTACATCCACAGGGCGCAACTATACAACAAATTTTGGCATAGTGTTATCACAATTCCACATTTATGTGCTGATGCTATGTGCACAGGGCACAAAAAAGCACCTGCTACACTGTGTTACAGTGCTTTTTAGCCTTTTTTGCCGCTAAATCCGCTCTAGCCTAGTGTAACACAGTGTAGAGGTGCGCTTATAACACTGCACAAAAAAGGAACACTCTTAGTGCTGCTATGCTAACACTAATTGGCCCTGTAGTGTAGTCTAGTGTAGTGGCTCACTGTTGATTTTTTGTTCAATTTGGACTCTGGAATCCTGAAACACATTTCCAAATTAGATACCAGTAGAGAATTTCCAATCTAAAGGGTGGCTGATTGAAATTTCATATTGGAAATTATGTATAATGATCCTGGTTCATGGAGGGTGTGTTTATGACATTTGTGTAAGATTGGGCTGCTGATCCATTTTATTTTTATTTGCATATGTGAACACTGCCAATTTCACTGATCATGAGTGTGTTAATTGTTGAGGCACATCAGGGACTGAAAACAACAACAGAGGTAGAGACTCACAAGAGGGACTTGACAATGAGAATAATATTATGATTCAGTGAGGGAAGAGAATTGAGTGGAGTTCAGGTAGCTCAGTAGTAATGGAAAGTTTGGTATAAGCATGACTAAATACAAGCATTTGAGTACTACATACAGGATTGAACAATCCAACACCAATTGGGAAGAAAGGCATACTACGAAAGTTTAAATTTACAATAAATCATATCATTCAGCTATATTTGTCACCGGGCACCTCTGACATACCTACCACAGTAAGTTAAAGAAAAGATGATTAAGTATTCAGGAAAAGAGTTCTTATTGGTGATGTCAACAGGACAATACAAGAATCAGGGGAATTTGTGTCATATATGCAAGGAAACAGCCCCAATAAGAGCTCAAAGAAGGGGGAAGGATTTCAGAAACTGAGTTTTGAAATACATTAAGGGAGTGAGTAAATAAAGGTTTTAGATTTGGGAGATGAATCTTTAAACAGGGAAAATTTTGTGAAAAATTCCTCCCAGAGAGCTCCATAGGAAATTGTGTTCATTACCATTAACAAGCAACAAGAGAACTTGCAATGTGCTAAAAAAATATTAGATAAAAATAATATTTTCAAAGAAGTGGTGCACAAACATCATTTTATTTAATTTGTATTTCTCACAGGACAAACAAGAAACAACTTGATTTGGTTCTTAAAAGTTCATATGAGGTTTTTGTTGATTTTTTTTCTTCAGTTTCCTGTATGTTGCCTTTTCTCCTTGTCTGCTTCTCACCTTTCATCATCATATCACACACATGTCACCAGTATTGTAGCAAACATGGGACACACCTTGTGGAAGGACTCTTCTCCTCATCCTTCCACAAACATCCCCCTCTGCCCAGGTATATGTATTATGTCTCATTTGTTTTCCTTGGTTTTATTTCTCTCCTTTCTCTTTCTGTCTTCTGTGCCTCCTCTCTGATGTTTGTTTCATGAAATTTATCCTTCCACAAACATCCCACTCTGCTTCAGTTCACCCCATCATTTTTTATGGTTGGTTGGATTTATTGAATTTTGTGGTTGAGTGGATGTGATTTTGTAGTTGATTGACTAATTTTTATGATTGATGATACCAAATTATGGTATATAATTTCTAGTGGCTTATTTGTATGTACCTAAGATTAGTCAATGAATCTCAATAACTGTCAACAGAAATCCGTTGGGAGTTGTTCCTCCAAATTGATGGCTGGGTTTGGGAGTCAGCCACCCACTTATATATTTTTTGAAGTTTGGAAGTCAGCTGCCCAAAATTAACCAGACCTCACAAATGGGGGGGGGGGAGGAGTTTCTCCCACTTGACCAGCAACTCTGACCCATGTTTTTTCAGTGCATTTTGATTTAACATTGCGAACTATAAAGTAACAGAAGCAGTGATAGTAAAAACTAATTTAAAGAGAGTGACCATAGTGTCTACAAGATATTCTAACCCTGGGTTGAAATAGTATCATGGGACTGGTTCCCTACTGGCCTGGCTGACTAGCAGGAGCAAAAGGGTCTGGCTGGGAATTGAACCTAGGACCTCACACAGCTATGAATCAGCTGTTGCAGACAGCCTAATGTGACACCTATTTATGGAATTGGACCTGCATGAGCAGTCACTGCAGGTACTGGTGCAGTCATGCTTGCTAATGCAACAGGATTTTGCAGCAAGCTCCTTTGACAACCAATTGCCAGCTGTGTCACCCAACCAAGACAAGCACCCTGAGGGTGAATCATACTACAAGACCACCAAACCAAACCCCCCATGTGTGAATGTGGTTTGTTCAACCAACTCTCAAACTTCACATATATATGTTTATAACAAATGAATGGCCAACTCCCAAACCCGGCCATCCATTTGGAGGAAAGACTCCCAAGGGATGTCCTTCAAGACAGTTATTGGGAGTTGCTGACTAATATTAGAGAGTCGTATAACTAAGCCCCAATTTTCAATTAACTAGATTTAATCCTAGAAAGGTCAGCTGATTACTAGGAGGAATATCCTTGGCTATGAATTATAAGAAGTATGTAGGGTGCTTGATGAACATCCACAAAATGTTCACTGATAGTACTCCGGATTATACTATCTCTTTTTGGATGATACAAACTTAACCAGTGATCAAAATAGCACTTCCTCCCTCTCTCACTCTCAATTACTGGTTAGAAACCAGCCAGCAATATCTAATTTAAATCTATTGATATTTCCAGCTCAGATCTTAATTCATTGGGAGGTGATCAATCATTACTTTTGATTGAGGGTACATGGGATGAGTTTGACTGCTATGAATATGTTATTTAGATTATCCCCTCAATGAAAGATATATGAATTTAATGTTTCATAATGTTTCATAATCGGCCATCCAGAGATTCTGAGAGCACTGATGGCTATTTGATTAACTGATTGATCAAATGGCTTGAGTGAGGGTGCAGTAATTCTTGATTATGAGTTATCATAATGCATTTTGGATCTAGAGTAGTACCACCTGGCCAGCTTGCTTGATTCTATCTGAGCTGATTTCTCTGAAGAGGAGAGAGAGAGAGAGATGTGATCATGAGCTTACTGGTGATCAAGTGAAGGATGCTTGTTGGAATGAGTCCGAGTTGCTGCGAATCGATGCACAGCTGATCAGGTTGGCCGGTTTCGGCTCGCAAGGGTGTCATCGATGCCCCGGGGGGAGACATGCATACACTCTAGTCCAGTCTTCGACTCCCGCTGAGACTGAAAAAAGTCTTCACAGCAGATCAACACACAGCAGCAGCACCAGCTGGCTTGAAGGAGTCAACGGCAACACCCGATCAGCACAAACCCGCAAACAGACCCTGCCTGACCACCACACCCCCACTTCAAGTCAGTCATCTTCCCCCCCCACATCTATATTAATATACACTCATCTCATCCACTCACTAATCTCAATCCCCTTCCAACCATCCCAGCTATCATCGATTAAAGAATGTCGAGCATCACCAGGAAGACCACTCAAGTCGTCAGTCATCTCATCAGCTCTTCCTTCTCTCTCTCTCTCTCTCACTCCTCACCAAGAAACATACCGCTTGCTCTCCCCCAATAACCTATCAAGTACTCACAATCACCCATCTGATTCTATCATCTCACAGGCTCGAAGGATGACGATTGCTATCCCCTTCCAACGGACCTTCGTCTCCTCTTCCTCGATCAAAAAGGGTGCGTACCCCTCCCCTAATCATCATTAACTTCACTCTTCCCCCATTTCTTCATCCAGCATTTCTCGAGCTAATATCGCTGACCGTCTCAACCTTCAGATTTTGTTCAGGAACTCTATCTCCGAGAACTCAAATCCTACAAACCTGCCCCTCAATCTCTCCAAAGCTTGCAAACCCAAGTTCGAGACTTCACCATGCCTGCCGCACCCGCTGCCCCAGCAGTACCCACCGCCCAAGATATCGCTCAGGAGATGCAGAGCTGGGATAGCGCCAGTTTGGTCAACAATCAAGCTCAGTCTTCCGAGACCATCGAGGTTGATGTGACGTAAGTTTGAATTGATCGCCCTCACCACCCAACTTAGCAACCATCCTCTCAGAGCAAAAATTGACCTCTTCCCTACTGTAGTGGTCAATCTGCCGACGAGTTCTTGGCTTTCTTGGAACGTGATCATCCACCACCAGCTGCCCATTAGGAAGTCAACAATCTACAGAAAGAAGATGATCGAGTGGAGAGTAGAAGGTGTACTAGAAGATCCACTTAGAAAACAAAAGAGAGCCGATTAGATCAGAAGGAATCATCCCCCCCCCCCCCTATAATCTCAATTTCCTTATTCCAGGCTATTTCCTATTATTTCCTTTGCTAAACTTGTGTGGCCATTGGTTGTTTGAATGAAATGTGAATGAAGAATGTTTGTCTGAAAGCACATGTGGCAGTCAGTCAAATATCACTAACTTGAGTCACTCCGATTCCTCGAGTTCCAAGCCGCACAACGCATTGCGGATTAAGAACCTCATACTTGACATCTGTCACTCCACAACAAAAGCGATATGACGGAAATGATGTATATATAGGTTTGGGGAGTTTAGAGAACCTTCGGTCTCGTGGCAAGACCAATAAGATCCGTCCTTGAACTCACGACTGATGAGCAAGCTGGAAGCTGGCACCACTCATCAGTCAATCAGGGGACGAGAGATTCACGCCGGTCCAACTGGCTCCAAGGTCCCCACTGGTTTGAACGTTAAGATCTAAACAGCTCGGGCATATCTGTAGTGCGGTGGTACGAGCCACAAGGTCAGTCGGACGCGTTCTCGTCGGACTCAATCGGGACAGGTTGGATTCCGGAATCTTCCGTGGGTGGAATGAAATACACGCATTGCTGCGCTGGACCACGGCGCAGCAGGCAAGTCCGGAAGCATACATAGCACGATTCGCACCAAATAGGCCACAGCTTTCCCTCACATCTTCGACAGTAAATTCACCTCTGTACTTGTCCTGTGTAAACAGAATACTAAAATAGATGGATCACGTTTTCTTCTCAAGCTTTGTGCAGCATTCATATATGCTACAATGTTGAGGCAGGACTGAACTAGCTGCCGTACAAGTTGCTCAAATTGTTTTTTGAAAAGTTTGATTAAACTGTTAAGTTGAGAGGCTCTTTTCCGCTGAAAAATAAAATGTTCTACAAATTTTAAAATTGATGAGACAGGTAAAAAGTTGACTTTTTTTTAAACACGCGAGTCGTATGGAATGGACTGTTGATGAATAGATTCATTTCATGATAGTTGGTAGCCCTGTGGAATCAGATGAGTGCTTGATTACGTTATCATCATTGCCGAGCAGAAAGTTTGAGTGATTTTACCCATCACATTTTGTCTATGCCGAGTGGAATGCAGAATGATTTGGTAAGTGATGGCTTGGCTTGTAATAAGAGAAACGAACAAAACATCAGTTAGGATCACCCACATCATGTCCAAACTCCAAAGCTATTAATCATCAAATTCCACATTCAACTCTTTCTTCTTCCTCCTCCGATCACCTCGATTACCGTTGCGACCTTGCAAGTCTTTGACTATGGCAGGGTTCTTGCTTCCGTGCGGCCAAGAATCGCCCCAAAATGTTTTGCGAGCGTCATAATAAGCCTGTTTTCCTTGGGATCGAGGGACAGTAAGCCTTTCAATTTCGCCTTAATTAAATCAGAGCCATATTGAGGTGGGAGGAAACAAATCCCAATTAATATCGGTCCGTCTGCCGGGTCAATCTAATCTGTGTACTTACCCGAGACGGCGCAGACGTCGAAGATCACATGTCCTTTGCACTTATGTGGCGGGAGAATGATACGAGGCCATTCTAATGCAGCACCGCTTGACGAGTTTCCATTATCGTCATCTGCTGGCTTTGGCACTGGATTGTAACGTAAGGGCAATGCAATCGTCAGACCTTTCCAATAGAACCTACAGAGTAGATTGATGCAATTCATCTTGAGGCTTTACTAACCTGTCTCCCTCGATGAACCGGCCAAATCAGAGGATAGTGAAGCGGACGGAGGTCGTTGACCTCTTCTGATGACAACATAAGAAAATTTGGCATCCTCCTCATGTCTGGTGGTATGTTTTGTATCTTTTAGGAATTTGGGTCGTTCGATTCGCTGGGAAAAATGACAGAAGTGTTTCGGGTTATCTGAAAGGTGTAGTGGGCAGGGCTTATCGTGAGGGCAAGGTGCCAAGACCCAGGATCCTAAAGCGGCAGAGTTGTCCGGATATTCATCTTCGTTGTTCTCAGAACTAATGGCCACCTCCCTTTCATACCTCGCTCTTCTTAACTGCCTTCGACCTAACATTAGGAGTTGCTGTCTAGCATCGGCAACGACTTGAAATCCGGCTGGTGTACCTCGATCGATAATCACCATCGTTTCAGCCCCACTGTTCCACATTCCCTCGATTGCTTCACGTCTCGCGGCTTGATTGGGAAGATCGCTCAAGGTGAAGGACATAATTGCGAGTAGGCCATCCGAATCACCTGTCCAATCAAACTTGGAGGGTTCTAGTTCGATTTCAGGTCTTTTTTCTTTCGCCTCTTCCTTTTCAATCTGATTGAGCCAGTCTGTAGAGGTTGTCGTGGCATGTTTTAACCTTTCAGCCTGCGTTGGTGAGATTGTAATTCTTCGAAATGAGGCCTTCAGGTCTGAGGCTTCTTGTCCGAGAAACGGTCGATTGGAACGTTTTTTGAGAAGAGTTTCATTGAGCCAGATCATACTGCTAGACTTATCGAGCCCAGTATATTCCTTGAGACTATCTGGCCAAACTTCGAGAGCCGCCCATAGAGCCGAACCAGTTCCGGAGCCATAATCCACGAGAGTTTTAGGTGTCCATTCAGATTCTAGACTGCGCCGAATCCTATCGCTGTTCAATCTCCGCTTGAGCTCTAGAAGTACCTTGAGTGTGGCGCCATAGGCTGAGGGCATGGCACCGGCGGCAAATGAGATGGAGGTGAGATGATCGTAGGTGGTCCTTAGCTTGGGCTTGACAAACTTTTTGCCATCTTCAGTAGTTTTTTCTGAGAAGAATGTATCCATCAAATCGTTGTTGGACATATTCAATGATTCCTTTGAGCTAGTGAGTCGGTATTTCCCATACAAGCCGAGTGCGTTTGTCCTAATGGTCGATCGATGAGAAACGGATTGAATGAGTTCTTGAACACCAGTGACGAGTTCGGTGGGTAATTTGATGATCGACTGCCTAGTAGAACCGTATTCGGAAGCATTTGATCTACGAGAGACGCCATCAGATTCATTTTGGTAGAGATCGACATCTTGCTGCTCTGCTGTTTGGTCTGAATGGGCTGATAGATCGTCCAGGAATCTTGAGAGTGCTGCAGGTTGATGAACGAGACGAGTCCGGGTAGGCAGACAGGTTGAGCGATGGATCCAACCAGAGGTCCGCCTGGCGATCGGTGACTTGGTACTGGGAAAGACTGTCCTCGCGGTAAGAATGACCATTCTCAACTCAAAAAAGTCAGTCCAGAGGTTGCTTCCAAGTTGAGGATCGATAAATAACTGAACTTTCAATTTAAATAAAAAGTATGTGCTGTGTGAAGATTGAACTCACCTGAAGGCCGATCGAAAGGGGTTGCGCTTGTGGGTCTGCTCAAAGAAAGCTATGATCAAGGAATCCCCCAGAAGTTGAGCGATAGCAAGCAATTTTCCGATCCGGCCTCCAAAAATCCGGCAGCATCCACGCAGCCCGCAAACTGGATTATATTAGGGGGGTTCACGATAGCTTTTTTGGCTTATGGTCCCCCCTTAAAAAATTCTTGCTGGCGCCTTGTTTCTGGTTAAATTTTGGGACTATCGGAAAACGACTCCCGTTTTTTCGCCAACGACTCCCAACG